CCTCGCTGCAGCGAGACTCCGCTGGCCCGTGTTGGTCGCTTGCCCAATTTTATTTTTAAAAAATGTGTTTATAATGGTCAGACTGCTCAGTTTCCACAAGAAACATACTCGGTGAATAGCTTGTACAAAAAGGGAACTGAAAATCGTAGTGTCTAAAAAATAGGCTTTATTCCACATAGACTTCTGAACACGGTCATTATATTCCAATTTTGTGGAAGAAGGAAGAGCCCTGGAGGCTAACCCACTTCTCACATTTTCATTTCTTTTCAGAAACAGCTTAGGAGCAATGCTATCTGGTCCAAGTGTGAATTTTCATTGATTTTTGAGAATTGGCCGTGTGTTCTTCATCTAAGCCTGTCTTCTGCCCCATCGCATCCAGACATTATATGCACTAGCATTATTACCAAATATTCCAACAAAAAATCTGGTATGTCTTGAGAAAAATCACTTCCATGACTTATTAATGAACTAACGAGGCATAATTTTCATAGGGTTCATTTACCCAAATTTATCATAGAATATAATTTAAGAAGAAAAAAAATTAATGGAGTAATTGAATTGAAGTCCTTTTTGGAATAATATTAGCACTCAAGGATCCCCACCCTCATGTATATGGCAATTATCAACTTGTCAGATTTCCCCCCTCCAAGAAAATTAGCTGCAAATCCCTTCTTCAGCATGTGGGCTGGCTCTCTTCTCAGATCCACTCCTCCCTGTTCCCGGCCCTGATGGGTGACTGGAGGCCACCCTGTGTAGACCGTATCAGTGGGCTCCTTGCCCTCTGGCTTCTGCCAATTCAGGAAATTCAGAATGGAAGGTGGACAGTGAGATCAGGATCAGGGTATTTTGTTTTTTGTTTTTTAAATAATCACCCACTTCGAGAGAGGTAGGGAGAAAGAGAAACATAGATGTGAGAGAGCAACATTGATTGGTTGCCTTCTGTACGTGCCCAGACCAGTGACCAAACCCGAAACCTGGGCATGTGCCTTGACCGGGAATCAAACCAGCGACCTTTTGGTGCACAGGAGGATTCTCAACCAACTGAGCCACTCCGACTGGGCTGAAATCAGGGTATTTTAATCCCTTGCTCCCTTGCTGAGGGCCCCTGCACCGGGCCATGCCCCTCAACCTGTATGGCAGCCCCCTCATTTCCCATTCCCCCTCAGACTGTCACCAGCCCAAGGATACTATTTTACCCCCTGTTACCCTACAGGCTGCCAACACCTAGGTAAGTATTTTATTTATTAACCTCTTAAATTATCCTAATTGGAGCGTGCCATCTGCTTTGTGTTGGGACCACAACTGATGCAAATAAGCATTTGATCCACAGAGATAACAAATAAGAGGATTACTGACCTTTTAGTGGGTAGCAAAGATAAGGGGCTAAAGCAGCCCAGCTGAAGCACTGTCACCTAAATTTCCAGCCCAACCTTCCTCCAGGAAACCTGCCCTTCTGCAGGAATGTCATCCCATCGCAGGATGGTTTTAGCTCTTTGGGGTTCAAAGCCCTGGGCTTCTGCATGTCCGGCCGGAGTGCCCCGAGACTGCTTTGGTGCATGTTTTGCAGGGTAACAGACTTGGATCCAGAAGCAGGGAGATCTTCTGAAGCCATAGGATATGGAATATGAATCACTGACCTTCCCAGTGCATCTCTAACATGGCCCTATTATCACTCAATTCACAGCTGGCACATGTGCTTTAGGAAAAATGAAAGGATTGAGTGTTGTTATGGAATATTTGTGTCCCCTCAAAATTCATATATTGAAGCCCTAACCCTCCAATGTGATGGTACTGGAAGATAGGCCTTTGGGACGTAATTAGGATTAGACGGGGTTTTAAGGGTGGGGCCCTCGTGATGCATTAGTGCCCTTATAGGAAGGGACACCACCCTGGGCTCACACACACAGAGAAGAGGTCATTCCAGCTCACAGCAGGATGGCCTCTGCCTACAGCCCAAGACAAAAGGCCTTCTATGAAAACCACCTTGCCGGCTTCGACTTGGCCTTGGACTTTCCAGCCTCCAGAACTGTGAGAAATAAATTTGTCGGGTAAGTCTGTCCGCCTATTGTATTTTGTACGGCAGCCTGAGCCAAGACGAACATGCGTTTTACCCAACCTGCCATTACGTGATCCTATAAAAGCGACCCCGTTTGTGGTCCTTCCTCTTTTAGAAATCTCTGTTCTGGCAAGTCCTCCCCAAGGGCCACTTGAATATTTCCACAGAGGCAACGGGAGCATTTTGGCTGAAATTCAAGCTCTAAAGGCCACTGTATCTTTCTCAGATTGGTTGAACGTGGTGGAAAGGAGCAGATGGTCTTAATAATTCTGCCAATGAAAAGATCCCGTTAGCTGTGAAGGCTGAGAGGGCTGACCCTTTGGTTCCGCTCCCAAACGGAAAGCAGGACGCTGCTCACAGAACGATGCCAGGCACCAGTGGCTGTACAATTTCCTTTTTATTTTGTGTGCTTTTTTTTTTTATAGGATATAAATAATGACAAAAATTACAAAATTTATAACTGGAAGCCCAAGCATATTTACACATATGTTTCTGTTTCAGCAAAGCTGCTATTCACTTTGCTCCTGTACAGTTTCCTTTTGGTACCATATATGTGTTATTTTACTCTCCATTGGCTACATACATATCAACAGTGAACAGGCAAACTATGTACAAGGAACTGTTCAGTTCAAGTAATTTAATATTGTATTAAAATTCTTCCACACTGAACTAAAACCAGACACATCTGTCAGTCTGAAATAAAATTTAGTCATCTTTCAGAACTCACCAACTGATGAATATAACTGATAATCTCAGGTTTAAAATAATATTGGTTAATAATTTTAAAAAAAGCAACATTAAGACAATCCCACAATTTATCAATATCGCTATCATGAACTTCAAAATGATTCACAATATGATCGGTTAGAACAATATACGTTAAAATGTTATTTTCTTCTATAATGATATTGGTACTGTTTATATAATTTGGTTCTACATAAATATACATTATGGTATTTATCATACAAATACTCCACAGAGACATTAAAAAAATTAAAATAGCTTAATGAAATGTAAGGAAATTTTATTTAATCAAATAGTAAGCAAACATTTATTTTTCTGTTTCAAGAAAAGAGTTTTATTACTTTGGAAGCTCTCTCTCTTTTTTTTTTCTTTTGTATTTATTTTTTTTCTAGAAAACAAATTTTTGCAATAGAACTTTATTAACACCTTTCTCAAACAAGGTTTCCATGACAGAAATCTTCACAGCAGGAGCCCTAGATTTCTTTTTTTTTAACATGTTCTTTAAAACACTGTGAAGATTTAAAAAAACCCATCTCTGCAGGCTTATGGCTGCATCAGCACGTTGGGTTGGACGGCCGTCTGCTTGCCCGAGTCTCCTGCCCTGGGGAGAGGCGTCGGGACTTTCCCACGCCCGAGCCTGCCCTCTTGGTAGTAGCAGTAGAAATTTAGTTATTTGAAATGAAACCGGAAACATCCCTCACAACTAACCTAGTTTTCTTATCAGTGCATTAATGAAACATTCTTTTAGTAAAAATATTTAATACAAGACACGTTTTTCTGTGCATAATAAATTCCTGTTTTAAATCATTCGTAAATTTTGAATCAGTCCTTAAATGTAAAGGTTTTCTTTATCTGACATAGTTGATCACATAAAAAACCACAAATATAGAAATCGGGAGGAAGGAGTTCCTAGCAACCATGGGGTGGTTTTGTCCTGTTGCGTGAAAGGATGCTCAGTGACAGAATGATTTTACAGATGCGTTATGGGGGTGGTTCTGTCCTGACTCTATCTTTAAAACAGCTGTCAGTGAAAAACCCAAGATTTTTATACTTTTAGGCAGTATTAGACATCCCCTGTACTTTTTAAAAAAAGGTGTTATCCCCAACAACAGCAAAGCAAGTGGGGCCAAGTCATTAGAAATACCTTGGGCGGTGACAGGGAGGGGAGTCCGGAGTCAGCAAAAATCTCAACTCGTGCCTCTCAGGGGTCAGGGCTGGAAAGTCTCTGTTGCACTTTCTGTCCCTGGTGCAGAAAGAACGCCCCCGGGAATGGCCAGTGGCCTGTCGCCTGTGACAAGGCCACGCAAACAGAGCAGTCTCCCTCCTGGGCTGGGTGGAAACGGAGGCGGGAAGGAAAGCCTGCTCCGGGCGGCTGGCGTGCAAGGCACCGCGAGGCGGGGGACCGCGGGTATCAGAAAATCGTGGTCTCATACTTGGTGTTAATGCCCCTCTTGGCTTCCTGTCCCGGCTCCACAATCCACGGCAGGTTGGCCAGAGTCTTTTGCTCAGATGGGTCGATCTGCTTTGAGAGAGGAAGGCTGATGCCTGTTAGTGGTACCTGCAGGGGTTCGCTCCTGCAGCCCCCCCTCCCCCGCCGCCCGGCCACGCCGCGGGCAGGGTGGCTGTGAACCATTTGTTCGCTCTTTTGACCACATTTATTGCATATGGACCTCGTGTGAGGCCCTGGAGAAGGGACGGTGAGTGACACGGCCCTGCTCTTACAGGCACGTGGGTGGGAGCGGACGCGGAAACACCCGATACTGAGAAGGGAGATGGGGGGGAGGAAGGTGCTCTGTGGGCACAGGAAAGCCGCTGACCCCACGTCGGGGAGCCAGGGGCCTTCCAGGAGGCGGTGAGCCCGGTGATGCCACTCCCTGATTCCCAAGCCTCCATGGTTTCCATCACAGAATAACCCCCAGGTCCCCAAGGGGACCTACGGGGGCCCCGCCTGCCTTTCTTCACTCCAGCCACACGGGCGCCCCTGCTGCCCCCCAGCACCAAGCCCACGCCCACGGCCTCTGCTCCGGGGGATGCCCTCCTCCAGACCCCTGCGCGCTTTGCGCCCCAACCTACTTCAGGCGGCGGCTCCAGCAGCACCTCCTCACCTGGGTGCCCTAGGGAACAGCGCCCCCGCCTGCCTGCTCGCCTCCTACTCCCGTGTAACCCTCTGCCACCCACAGCCCGTCACGTCTATTTGTTCAGGCCCCACTGCAGTGTGGGCTCGGGAAGGGGGGCTCGTCTGTCCTGTTCGCCACTGTTTCGCCACAGCTTAGGAAAGCTCCTGGCGGCCCAGTAAACGTGGGCACAGCTTAGGAAAGCTCCTGGCGGCCCAGTAAACGTGGGCACAGCTTAGGAAAGCTCCTGGCCCAGTAACTGTGGGCACAGCTTAGGAAAGCTCCTGGCGGCCCAGTAACTGTGGGCACAGCTTAGGAAAGCTCCTGGCCCAGTAATCGTGGGCCCAGGATAAATACCTGCTGAGTAGGTAACATGGGAACAACGAGGCACCGTCTAAGAGGAGAGCTGCGGGAAAGTAAGAGTCTGCCTGGCGAAGGTAGGGGAGGGGGAACAGCATGTGCAAAGCCCCCGAGGCAGGGGAAATGGTCCGGTCAGGGCTTGTAGTGAGCTCGCAGAGGGGGATACGGGAGGGGGGACACTGGTGGGGGGGAGGCGAGCAGGACTAGGACAGGCTGAGCTGTAGAATCGTTAAGACGGGTCTAGCAGTTCACGTATTCTCAGGGATCACTGAGTATTTCTCAACAATAAACAACGGGGACCGAGGGGCGCTGGGTGCGGACACCAGGTGAGGGGGGCAGGGCTTGAGGCAGCTCAGGCACATCAGTGTTACCACCGTGTGTTCCCCTAGTGCTCAGTGAAGCCTCTGGATGGATTTCTACGAGCCTGTAGGGCACCCAGCCCTTAGTGCTCTTCTGGCAGAGTCTGTGGCGACCAGAGTGACATCAGGTGGAGGCACCTGCCCTGAACTGATTTACCCAGCCCACAATGAATATAAGAGCCTAAGAGAAATCACAAAAGGCTCCTGAAAATTCCTGGATATTTAACTCATACTTTTTTGTAGGGGAAGATAGATGATAAATCTCCATCTGCAAATGCTCCACAGAATTAAAAGCAGGTGATAGGCTTGAGTGTGGCAAGTGTGGCCCAGAAAAGGCCCCTTCATGGTGCTGAGACCTGAACGACAGAGTCAGCCGTGTGGAAATCAGGGGGACACTAGGCCAGGTAGAAGGAACAGGTGGGATGGAGGCCTCAGGCAGGAGTGAGCTTTGTCTTCCAGGAACAGGAAGGCCTGAGCGTCAGGGAGAAGTGCGGTGGGAAATCGGGCATTATGGAGTTGGGCAGTGGTGCCAGGATCTGATCTATGGGGTTTTAAAAAAACATGTTTTTATTGATTTTTTAGAGAGAGAGAGGAAGGGAGAGGGAGAGAGAGAATCATCAATGAGAGAGAGAAACATCAATGGGTTCCCTCCTGCACGCCCCATACTGGGGATCGAGCCCACAACCCGGGCGTAGACCCTGACCGGCAATCGAACTGGTGACCTATTGGTGCCTGGGGTGACGGTCAATCCACTGAGCCACGCCGGCCGGGCTCTGGTCTATGTTTTAAGAAGCGACTCTGGGTGCGGTGTGGAGGACTGGGGTCTGTGAGGAGGTGCCCTTCCGTGGGTTGGGGGGGAGCAGTGCTGGAACCTTCCCCGGATGAGAAGAGTGACAGAGGGAAGGAGAGGACGGTGGGCGGATCTGAGATATGTTTTAGAGGTTGAGTAGATGGAAGCTGCTCATGGGTTGGACGCAGGGCCTCGGGGAAGCCAGGAATCAGGTCACTTCTAGATTTACGGCTGGAGCACCCTCACAGAACTTTCTGGGGCGCCTGCAGGTTCAGGCAGATGGTGTCCCATACTTTCCAGGAACTGGGTGAGAGGACGGCAGACACGTGCCGGGTAGAAGCCAAGGACAAGACGGAGAAGGGCAGGCCCTGATTCTAACTCGCACCCCGAAAGGGCCCACGGAGCCTGCATCTTTTCTACTTACCACGGACTTGCGGATGCTGACGCGGGGCTTGGGGATGGGCTTGGAGGGTTTGTTTTCAAAGCTTTCGGGGAGCGTGGAGGAATGGCCCCCTTTCCTCGCCTGCAGTGCGAGCTGGTAAGCGACTTCGAAGGCCTGTCCCAGGGTCAGAATGATTTCGTAGGCTAAATTCTGCAAGAGAAACGAGACAGCGGTTACTAGGGCCCTCTGCAGGTCGGAGGGGTCCGGGGGCTGAGGCGCCCGTGGGGGGCGTGAACCAGCGAGGCCCAGTCCGCAAATCTGCGAATGGGACACTCCAGGTCCAACTTAGAGTCCGTACGAGGCATCAGTCTCTGATGTGCACACTTGCTTCAGCCGAGCTAAGGAGCCTACTTCCCACTGCACCCCGCGGGGAGCAGTGCGCCCCAGGTCCCTGTTCCCAGGGCCCCCACGGGCAGCTGGCTTGCTCCCCGGCCCTGGAAGGGGGTTCCTCCGGCCGATGCTGAGTCCTGAGAGCACCGCAGCCGCGTGTGACAAACCCACAGGCTCCACAGGAGCTGTTCCTCAGAAGTTCGGGTCTTTTTACCTCCAACATCTGCGATTCAGTGACCGTCTCCCCGAAACACAATCAGAGCCTAATTGGGGCGGAGGGGAGAGGCATTAGTCATGCTGGCGCGGGCCCGTCGCAGCAGCCTGCCTGCCAGCAGAGCCAATTACCCGGCTCCTGCTCCAGGCGCTCGCTCCCCCGGTGGGTCCACCACATATTTTCCCATCAGATCAGCAGGAGACGGGAGATGGGGGGCCCCCTCCCCCGAGTGCCGCGCCCGAGCAGTGCCTGGGACAAGGGCTCTTTCCTTCAGACCTTCCAGCTTCCCCTCTCCCCTTCTCTTCCCCAGAGGCCCATCTCTGATTTCTGCCTCCTCGGAGAATGGCTCCACCCTGTCCTCTCTCACTGAGAAAACGGCATTGTTGGACCCCAACGAGGCAGGGTCTCGACAACATCTCCGAGGTCACAGCACATTCAAACTGGCCATGGAGAGCAGGCGTGGTCTGTCCCAAGTTCTCATTCTGATGACTGTCCCCGGAACGTCTGTCCGTTGACAGTTTTTCAAAGCCACAGAAAGAGCGTTCTGCTTACGAGACCTACGCCCTCCCCCTCGCACCCTGTCCCCCCAAGTCAAGCACATGGAGCAGCTTAGTTCCCACAATTCTCAGGACTGTTCCCACTTGATGATGACATGGTGGGAGATGCAGGGCGCCCTTCAGGGGCCACGTGGAAGGGCCCGCGGGTTTCCCGAGCCACCGGATTTCCTACCAATGCCGGACTGACACGGACTTAGACCCGAACGGGGACAACGCCTCCGAGCGTGAGAGTGGGTGTGACAGAGGACGTGTCTTCTCTGAGCTACTTGTTGGGAAATGTCTGCCGCACACGACAGGATGTGCTCCTTGGAGACGCGAACGCTGCCCAGCCAGCCGGGCACGCCCTGCAGCGAGCAGCGCGCTGTCCTGAGGGTGTCGGCTGGTGAGAGAGCCAGGGACCAGCACAGGACAGCGGGAGGGCTGGCGGGCGGCTCTGGCCATCCCTGCACCGGGGGCGGAGCCCGTCCAGCGCCCAGGGTCATCGGCTCCGCAGGGGGTCCCCCTGAAAGGCGGGGTGGGGCTTCTGACTTCTGTGGTTGCCACGTGAAGTCCTGGGCTCCCGGCCTCGGTCGCCTACCACGGGGACGGCTGAGGTCCACCTGTCAGGGACACGCAGCAGGTATCTGTGCTCTGGGTGGGCAACCGGACGAAGGGAAAGAGGCGATTCAGAGATTCTGCACCTGCAGCTTTCAGGGAGCTCGGTGAGTGTGAATTCCTTTATCATTAATCTAGAAACAAGTTCCTCAAAGTGAGAGTTACTCAAAGCTCCAGTGTCTTCACATGGAAGTCAAAGATGCTCATTTGAGCAACTGAGACTTTTCACAGGACTATTACGGGAGGCGTGAAGGTTCTGCGAGGAGCCGGTACGAGGCTCGGCCCTTGGATTTTAATTAGTTCCTGGCGTGAGAAAGCTGCTCGGATAAAGACGCGGGGACCAGGCCGCGGGGCAGAGGCTTCCTGCCAACGGCGTCCTCCGGTCTGGCCTGCGTTCTCCTCGACGTCTTGCTCTCTGTTCTATTTTAGGACGCTTTGTAGAGTTCTTCTTTCGTGATTCTGTATTGTGAAGAACTGGACATTGTCACCTTTCCTATGCTTCCTGTCTCCTCGATGTTCGAGATGTCGGCTCTGGTAGTGAGGGAGGGCCCCTGGGCACCTGGTGCAAGGGGCTGCTGGTTGCATGCTGGGTGCTGTGCCACCAACACGCCAGGACCCTGAGGGGGACGCACACCAGTCAGATGGCACCTGGGACACAGTCTGACCCGGGGGGAAGGCTCATTTCTCCTGCTTCTCCTTAGTAACAGCCCCACGACTTAAAACGGGAAGAGAGCCCGGCCTGTGTGGCCCAGTGATGAGAGCATCAGCCCACACACTGAAGGGTTGTGGGTTTGATTCCCGGTCAGGGCCATGTCCCTGGGTTGCAGGTCCCATCCCCGGCCCCTGGTCGGGAGCGTGAGGGAGGCAACCGACTGATGTGTCTCTCTCACATCGATGTTTCTCTCTCTGTCGCCCTCCCTCTCTCCCTTCCACTCTCTCTAAAAATCAGTGGAAAAAATATCCTCAGGTGAGAAGTAACAAAAACATTTAAAATAAAATTAAAATGGGAAGAGAGCTGTTACTGTAGCAGGAGACTGTACTGTGACAAGGCCGAAGACGATGTTGAAATATCAGGGGGGCTTAGGTGACAAGCCCTTGCTTCGTCCTTCGAGCCAGGCCGGCCAACCCCAGCGATGCTGGACGGCACTGACCAGCCCAGTGACACTGCTGAGGAAACCTGAGAGCCCAACGAGTCTCTGCCTTCCCTATATTGTCCTTGCCACTGTGGGGAGGCCAGAGCCTGGGACTGTGCCTGGCACACCGCGGGCACTTAGCAGATGCTGGCTGAATGAAGAGCGAAGTGACAAGGCAGAGAAATGACACTACGCAGTCGCTGCTAGAGGTAGGATACTGACTACGCAGGGAGGGCTAGGTTGGTATGAGGCATTGTGCAAACGGCACTGATCTCATTTAAGTCCTACCATAACCATCTGCGGTAGCGTATTACCCTCATTTTATAGGTACGAAAACTGAGGCTCAGAGAGGTTAAGTAACTTGCCTGGCATCACAGAGCGAGAGGTTCCCGAGCTGCGGTATGTCTGTGACTTACAGCCCCTGTTCTGAGCCCTCTGTGTGTGGCCGCCTGTCTCCAAGCCGGCTGCCATGCTCCCTGCTCAGAGGGTGCGTCTGCTCCTCGATCCCCTTGAATCTCGGCTCCCAGATAGCAGAACGCAGCAGGAATGAAACGCTGGGACCTCGAGATTAGATTGCAGGGAGTACGGCAGCTTCCACCTGGGCCTCTGGGAACACTTGCTCTGAGGGCAACTAGCCACAGGAGAAGGTCTGACCACCCTGCGAGGACGTCCGAGCTGGCCCCGGGGGAGGCTGCCTGGGGGCAACAGCAGCCATCCCAGCCCAGGCTCCGCATACAGAGGGGAGGAGCCACCCTGGACATTCAAGTGCCAGGAGGTGCCACATGGAGAGGGCCCAAGGCGCAGACAGATGGCGCTGTCCAGCTGTCCCAGCATCTGCAGCCATCTGAGCCACCCCAGCAGAGGCCCTGGTATTGTCGGGCAGAGCAGAACTGCTGTGTTCTGCCCAGATTCCTGACTCACAGAATTGTAAACATAATAAAATGGGTGTTGCTTTGTGCCACCAAGTTTTGGGGTGGTGTGTTAAGCAACCACAGGTCACTGGAACACCGTGCAATCCTAAACAAGGCTGCCGGACCCTCGTCCAGGCACCAGGAGGAGGCCCGTGTGTCTCAGAGCTGGGAGGAACTGGGTGCAGTCACAGGAGGCCGATCCCAGAGACGCCAGCCCTGGAGGCACCGCTCCAGCCCTGGCGCGGGGAAGTGAACCCATCCTGGTCACAGGGCACAGCAAGCACTGAGGTGTCCCTTCACACAGGCCACAAACCCAGGGCTGGAATGTCCTTTTAGGTGGCACAACCACACTCTCATGTCTAGTTACTATCTCCCAAACTCACTAACCTCGCCTCTCTCAAATGCGGAGACTCGGCCATCTCCGACCTTGGCCCCTTCTGCCCCTCCTCGCGTATTGGAAAATCCTGTGTTGGCCTTTCCAGCATCAGTCTCCTTCTAGAATCACACTTATCATGGCAATTGGCTTAAGTACCTTACATGGACCGCCAGTGAAAGACGGAGGCCCAGGTGTGTGTGGTGCTGGGTGGTTGGTGCAGGTGGGGGTGATTACTGGGAAGAGCATGCTCTGGGCCTCAGTTTCCCTATCCTGAAACGGTGACGCAACATACACAGTACCCACCTCACTGGATTGTTCTGAGAATCACTCAGGGTGACAGTTACCTAATGACAATCTCAGCCACATTTATTATTTACTGTGCTCTACAGGGACTCTCATTTAATCCCGACAACTCCATGGGGTTACTATTATTTGTTTTGCCTGTGAGATAATTAAGCTCAGAAAGGTCAGATAACTTGCTCATGAAACCAGCACCTGGCTGAGCTGGCTGAGCTGGGCTGGAGTCCAGGTGTTCTGACTGGCCCTGCTCTTGGCCACTACACTTTAGAATCACACTTAAGATGAAAGACTTCTGCAAACTTCTGTTAAAATAACCACCACCCCACAACTTGAAAAGAGTAAATCCAGAAGCTCCTGGGAGATCGATGCATCTTGGTTGGGGTAGGGTATGCAATTTGCCTGGGTCTCATGTCAGGACCAGTGGGAAGGTAGCCTCCAGGCAAAGGGTGTCCTTTGTGACTTGACATGAGCCACCAGCATGGGGATTCTAAACCTGCAGTGGCCCCGTCAGTCATGTGAGGATGATGTGAGATGCAGGCAACACTGTCCCAGCAGAGGCTCTGTGGGGTGGAGGCAGGGAGTCACAACTCAATGGGGACAACTGCCCTCCGGAGCCCTGCCCTTCCCTGCCCCCTCTCTCCTCCCCTTCCCCCCAGGGGTTTTAATTGGTGGATTAAGAATTGGAGGAAGCTCAGGAGCCATCCTATTTTAAGGATAGATCCTGACTGTAGTCCA